CCTTGGCACAGCGTTCATGCAAAGAGGTCTAGAATCCTAATTAGATGCAAAGTAGCATATCGCTACAATTGTGTAAGATCAAGAACAGTTACTGTTGTCGCTCCAACATTTTAAGTCTCTTATAAAAAAAACATTTTCAGTCTGCAATCATGCTGCCACCTTCTCCGTACAGTGTGGAAAATTTGCTACCGGAATCATGTTAGCTGCCGAACCCAAATGGTGATCTACTCCTGCTGCCACCTTCTCCGTACTGTTCGTTCCATTTTCTTAGCTCATTCATGCTCATGGCATTGAAAGCAACGGGTGGGCTCACCTGCACAGCGAAAAAGAAAACAATCAAACATGAAACATAAATTTGTGGATGCTAGCAAAGTGATAAAAACTTGGATGTTTTCAGAAATATAGCACCAGAGAACATTAAGTATTCATGAAACCTTTAAACCTCTAGTTGCCAAAATGGACGAGTACTTTTAATCTCTCAAAAGGAACAACTCTGTGAGAATGATATCTCTACAGCTTGCTTTACTTGATATAGTAGTAAATTATTTGAATTTTTGTTTGCTTTACTTCTCTCCCTCTCTCTCTTATCTAACTTGTTGCTGCTAGCTTCAGAAAATTGTTGGTACTGTACATAAAATTCAATAGTGATCAGCTTGATTTGATAACAATAGTGATCAGTTTGATTTTATACCAGTAATGATCAGCCAGAGTATCACTGTTCTCAATGGCCTCAGATCATTTTCCTACTCAGATCTATTTGGACCACAGGGAACAACTTCTATCTATACATCGTCATGCAACAGAACAACTGAGAGAGGGAGCTGAAATCAGTGCAAGAGCAGCATAGGTGAGTGCAAGAGTAACAAAGTCAGGACATGGTGATATACTCCCATCTCTAGATAAATACAGTAACAAAGTCAAGAATATGTTCAGCCATCAGTCAGTCTATGTAAATGCATATTCCAGCATGGTCATATAGCAGCACCACTTCATATAGCAGCAGAACTTAAATGATTCCTAGATGCACTAGTAATCATTTAGTTTAAAACTTAACAAGGTTCAGTAACAATTGAAACAGCAGCTTTAAAAAACAGAGAGACAAGATGTAGGGTTTTTAGCTGCTGCCACAACACAAAGTCTATAGATGCTGAAGTAGTCAGTATTAAATCATTCAGAGTAGATGATGCAAGCAATCAACATTCAGTTTTGACCAAAACATTCAGTGTCATACAATTACAGAGTTGTTACTCCAACACACATAGCAGCACCACATGCCTACTCCAGTGCAAATTTGAAAAAATGGCACTTGTGACTACTCCAGTGCTACAATCAGATTACTTTTTCCAGTGGAGAACACAACAGACATCACACCAAATACTATTTTTTCAGTAAACACAACAGACATCAACACTAACACTGTAATGGAATGGGGGAAATAGTGGAACTGAACTGACCACATGCAGGAGGGATGGAGCTGCGCAGTGGAGTGGTGGAGATGTGCACTGTGCTGACCTTCTATGGGACAGCGGCGCCAGCAATGTGAATTGGTCGACGGCGTAACCTTTAGTCAACAACAACTACTGTCAAAAATAATTCAGTGAATACAGTAATCTTCTTCTACTCTTGCTACTCCTGTCAATCTTGGCATTGGGGGCATAACCTTTAGTCAACAACAACTGCTCCCAACTCTGAATTTTGACACTAAGAATAAGAATAAAAATTCAGTCAGTAAATTTAGATTACAGAATAAGAATAAGAACAAGGGCTTGAGGATGTTCATCTGAATTTTGCTGTGTCATGTTTCTTTAAGGAATGTCCATGCAACAGAAGAACTGAGACAGGGAGTACATTACCTCTCTCAATAAAATTAAATTAAATTATGGAGCTGAATCTGACCTCCAGCTCTACAAACTAAAAATTATGGAGCTGAAAATTATACAGGCTTTCTCATACAGTAAAATTCAGTGAAATTTTATAAACTGAAAACTATGGAGCTGGATCTGATCTTCAAGTCAGACTCCAGACACCACAGGCACCAAAATTGAGCAGGGAGCAGCGAGACCATTAAATTTAGCTAGACAAGATATCATAGGATAGAGCCTGTAGTGGTGTGTGCTCTGCACGTACCCTATGAAGAGGAGAGAGCCGCCTTTATCTCCGCCGGAAAAAGAAATGTGAGATTTTGCTCTTCCCAATTTGAAATTTTGCCAGCGGCTCCAACACCTACATCGAGGCGCTGGTGGAGGGCTGGAAGCCAACGCCGCTGCCCACGACTGCCTCTTCCTCTGGCTGGACGCCGCGCCGGGGATGCTGGAGTGGTACACATTCGGCCTCGTCACGGGCAGGGATGGGGAAAGGTGAGTATTTTAGGGAACAAATCGACGGGCGGGGATGGGGGGAGCGGTGGAGCTGCGGGTCGCGGCGGAGCGGCGTGGTGGAGCTGCGCGGTGTCGCCGGTGCCGCAGGGGAGCGGTGGAGCTGCACGAGCGGAGCTGTCGAAGGGGACGATGGACTGCGGGTTCGGTCGTTGTTTCTTTGAGGGCATTTTTGCAAAAACGCCACAGGGACAAGCTTTCCCAGACGGAGGGAGTATATGAGAGTCAGTTATCCACAGAATCGAACTAGATCGCATGGAAACACTAGTCAGACAATCGACAGCAGTAATTCACTCATTTTTGTGTCCACATAAATAGCTAGATGAATGTTTAGTCAAGTACTCCCTCCACCCCAGCAAAAGTGTATTTCCAGCATTTTTTGGAGGGTCAATTTTTTTCAAGTTTGACCAATTTAATATAAAAATTGACCAATATTTATGCCACCAATTTAGTATATAATGAAAATACATAGTATGACAAATCTAATGATACTAATTTGACGGTTTAAATTTTGGTAATTTTTTTGTATAAATTAGGTCAAACTTCAAAAAGATTGACTCTCCAAGAAAGTTGAAAGTACACCTTTTCTGTACGGAGGGAGTATACAGCAGAATCTCACGCGGACAATGAAGAACAGGTGAATTGCACAGCATGAAACAGACAAAAATGGCATTCTGATATGTCGACAATTTCAAACTGACAATGTCAACTCTGTCCATCAAATGCATCAGCAGTTATTGGCAATGACTATGATTTTAGCAATACAGCCGTAGCGCGAAATAAGTGAAGATATCTTGGATACGGACTAGGTACAGAAGAGTAGAAAATATCTCTTACCAGATCAGGCCCCGAAATCAAGAGGAACCTCAAAATTGCAGTTCCAATAAATAAAGACCTCAGGACGAAGCTCGAACATTGAAAGCAAGGGTTGACAAAGGACCTTCAAAATACTGAAAAGCAGTATCATATAAGCCTTGACGAAACTTCCTAAATTCCAGTGTAAACCACCTTGTATACAAATAGATGGGCCATCTACTTTCCGAACCGTAAAAGAAGTTAAATATGAGATGGACACTATGTGTAAGCTTGACTTAAGCAAAACTACTTACTGTCATCTTCCTTTTTATATGTAATGTAAAGAAGAGTGGTACTGGATAAAATGCTACAACCAACAAATTTTAAAATTATATGCACCCAACACAGCAAAAGCTATGCACAGCAATAACCCAAAATGTCATATTAATAGCTGAACATGGCATCGAGCAAAAAATTCATCCATCCAAAAGTATTACAGTACGTGTGGTAGTTTCCTAAATCTTTAATACATAGTGACAAAAGCTAGATGCACATTAATAATCCTAGTGGGAGGGCATTCGATTATCGCAGGAAACAAAACAAGAAATGAACTTATCAAAATAACAACCTCAAAAAATAAACAGTATCTCAATGTACATGTAGAAACAGTTCTGCATCAATTATTCGTTCTAGGGCAATAACCAAGTTCCATGTTGAAATGTGGAAAATCACATTCAGATACATCATCAGAAATTTTGTTCTTTATCAAGTAATTCTACAACAATGATCGCGAGACACATTTGAAGACTACCTACACTGGCAGGAAAAATGATCAGATGAAACTTCCAAGCTATAGATGATCTCCTAACGTGGTCTTGCCATCCGGTTCATTTCCAGCAGTTGTGTAAGAGACACAGAACTCCATCTTTCAGTTCCCTCTTGAAGTTGTGCATAGAGTAGTCGCTTGACAGAGTCTATGCAAATGCTCACGGTGCCAAATTCGTACACTGGCATGCCGTTATAGAATTTGTTAACTCTAGGCATAAACAACAAACCTTGGTCAGCCGCATATGCCTGAATAGACTCCTTGAAGCTCATATCTCCCATGGCTGCTCCTGGTACAGCATGGTAAGATGGGTATTGCGATGCTTGCTGTGCTGCATCAAATTGCCGCTTCTCTGTTGCTCTCAAGAAGCCAACATTCTCCCTAGCCCCTGGCTGCACCAACTCATGTCCTTCAGCAGCTTGGTTCATCATCTCAAGACCAGCCGTTAGAAGCATCCGTATGCGTTCATTGGCAAGTAACTCTGGTGGGAAAAGGCCCCTCCAGCCCTTATACCAATTCATTATCTCATTGAAATCAGGATTTGGTGAGCTCAACCAATGGTACAAAACCAGCTGCCACTTACTAAAGAAATCAACTTCCAACATATGAACCATATGGTGTACCGGAACAGCAGAAGCCCAGATCATAACCCAGTTAAACTGGTCAAACTTCTGGCTTGCTGGGTTAATCTGAAACTCCTGGAGCGCCATTTTCAGCTTAGGAATGATATAACGCACTATCAAGTCTTCCCAACTTGCTGGATCAAATACACCCTTCCATGGAGATAGCACAGCATAAGCTGATGAATCGTGAGCTTGCCATAATTGGAGGACACTACTCAGCTTGTACCGGATAGAGTGGCACAATGTCTCTATCCTTTGCCCTAGAGTTGGCAACCATGGGTGTACCCATACATGGATTGGCACATTCTCGCTCCGCGGGTCCCAAGATTCGACTGCAGCTGTGAGCTTTGGCATTATTACATGCTCCAATATTGAATGGAGCACGATAGGGGGCAGCAACCGTTCCCATGACTCAAGAAAACGGAGCATTGGTTCTGGATCCCTAGCCTTCCATGAATTAGTTCCTGATATCCGCACAGCTGGTAGGATGACCTCACTGACCAGCTGTGCATATGGAGCCATTGATTCAGTAGCATCTGAGAAATCATATGGCTGGTCTCCCTGCAGCAAATCCTTCCACGATGACATGACCTCCAAGCCAAACAATGGATTCTGCAGAGGCTGCCACCCCTGAAATACCCGGATAAGTAGTGGATGCGCAAATCGGCAAGCAACCCATGCAACACTGCAAATTTTGAACTCCTCCTCATAGCGCACCTTCAATCCCTGGAAGGTCTTAAGCAACCCCCCCAGAGTGAGCAAACCAGCGGTGTCATCAACCCGGACCTTCTCCAGCACATCTGCAATTGTCTCCATAACTTGCAGCTGGCGTTTCTGCAAAGCCTCCTGCTTTGCTACTTTCTCCTTCTCCCGCACCAAACTAGCCACCTTCTCCTGCTCCCGCCGCAGCTGCCCATCCAACCTGACAATATCAGCCTCAGTCTCATCAACAAGCAGCCGCACATTGTACTGCAACTCCGGCATCGGCACATCATTTGCCTCCATCTCATGTTCAGTACTGAGCCCCTTCAAGTCTGTCAACACACGAGCCTGAGGCCCTCGCATGTCAATCACCTTTTGGACAAATGTGGGCTGCTCATCCTGTTCCTGCTCAGCGCGCCTTGCCAACAGCTCATTCTTAGTCAAGACCTGATCCTTCTTCAAGCTGGCCTTCTTGGACCACCGTTGCTTTTCCTTCTTGGCAGGCGGTGGAGGAGGTGGGGGTGGCAAGTTCTCCTTGGGAGTGAAAGCTTTGGGCTCCTTAAACCCCTCGACGCTGCCGAGTCCGGCGTTCTTGGGGCGTAAGGTGGTCTCCACTGGTGCAGTGATTCCCTGAGCATTCTTGCCGAGGCCTTCTCCTCTCTTGTACCCCATCATAGCCATCATCTTAGCCACCTTCGTGTTGGACTCCAGGCTCCCAGGTGGCGGCGCTGGTTTTCCAGGTTCAAACCCTGCCCCGAATGCACTGCGCCGGCGCTTGGCCGACTCCTGCTGCCGCTCCTTCTCCTCCCGCCTCGCGCGTGCACCCTCGGCGATCCGCTGCCCAAACCCTGTGGGCAGGTCGATGTACGGATCCTGGTCCTCCTCTGCATCCTCCTCGGAGGCGGCGGCGGCAGCAGTGCCCGAGGAGGACGCGGCCTGGCCAAGCCCAGGCCTCTGCTGCTCCTCATCCTCCTCTGGCTTTGGGGCACTGATGCCCTTGGAGACGAACTGCACGGGCCTGGTGAGGTCGGGCTCGGAGTCGTCCATGCGGCGCTTGCGGCGCCGGCGCCGGCGCGACGCCTCGTCCTCCTCAGAGTCGTAGTCGGAGTCCCCCTCGCCGAAGACGCCGTAGAGCGCGTCTTCGCTGGTCTGGGGCGCCCGCTCGCGACGGCTCTGGTAGTAGAACTCCCCGTCGCGGCCGAAGCGGCCGCCCACGAAGTCGCCGTCCATGTCGAGGCGGTCCATGCCCTCGGCGTCCTCCTCCATGGCTCCGCCGCCTCCCGGATACTCGACCTGAGATGTTGAGACGGGCGAATCTCGAATCAGAACCTAGGGTTTCACCGAGGGTTTCGGCCAATCAACACGATGGGACGGAAAAAGCGGGGGTGGGAACTGAAAAGGGGTGGCGGTGTCTACCTTGCCGCCCGAGACGCCTTGTCCGCCGGAGTTCGCCGCCGCCGCCGAGCACGGGTCGGGGTGGAGACGGAGGGAGGGAGCGCGTCGGAGGGACTATTTCCACGAGCGACTGTTTTTCCGTGACAGCGCGGTCGGCTACAGCCCGTAAGGTCGGTTGTGTGTAATATGGGCTTTACTATGGGGTGGTCCGATTCGGGCTGTATGGATAGCTGGAAGCATGGGCTGATATAGAATGTCAAATGGCGAAGGGTGCTTGGGCCCATGGTTGACCATGATCCACGATGGTATCTTTCAAAACCCACAAGGTACCCATTGTTTCATCAAAATAGATTTATTGACG